ACAGAATTATTGCAGCGTAGAAGGAGTCCATTAAGCCCACTGCGTCTGCACCATGTCTCCAAATTATGACACTGCCGTACTCCTGCCTTTCCCCCATAATCCTGCACATAATTTTTTTTCAAATAATTATCTAATGTTAAAGGCTGACTTCCTACCCTCCCTCTGGGAAATTGGTGACTACTGTAAGTTTGTTCAGGAACGACTCTGGAGCAGCTCCTTGCAACCATGAACCTTTATTAAACAATGTACAATATTTACAAAGGTACATAGGAAGGAGCATTCACAGAACCTGGCTGCCTAGGTCACAGCTCTATTTGTACTGATGGCAGTTGGCATCACTGATAATGTATGCTATTCATTAGCATAAAAAGATTTAACCATTATCTTAGAGTGAACATCAGCCAAATGTTCATTCGATGTTTGCAGCTTAACATAAGAACTAGGAGCGGGAGTAGGCAATTCAGCTGCTCGAACCTGATCCGCCATTTAATACAATCATGGCTGATCACATTTCAGCCTCAAATCCACCTTCTTTCCCACTCCCCATAATCTTTTAACCTAACTAGTTAAAAATCTATCTCTTCCTTGAATCTATTCATTGTTTCCTGTGTCCACCACACTCTGGGGTGGTGAGCTACACAGAGTCTTTGACACTTTGACAGAAGTAATTCCTTCTCATCTCCATTTTAAACAATACCATAGGAGCAGAATTGGGCCATTTGGCCCATTGAGTCTGCTCTGCCATTCGATCATGGTTAATAAGTTTCTGAACCCCATTTTCCTGCCTTCTCTGTGTAACCTTTGCTTCCCTTAGCCTAAAAATACAAACTCTCATTCTAGATAGCCCCACAAGGAGAAATATCCACTCGACATCCACCTTAAAGGAAAGCCAACTTTTGGCAGATGTGAAAATCCATTCTCTCCCATATCAGGCCTTGAAAAACTGCACTGTGCTGCAGCTGCGGAAACAACAGATTGGGGCATCTGCATACCACCTCACTCTCCTCATTGTCATTGATGGAAGATACACTCTAAACCTCAAAATGTAGTTTAAAAATGTTTATTGTTTAGTCAAACATGAGGCAGCGTCTACGTAGAGCATCTTTCAGATCTTCAAATATTATCACTCAAACCACTTGGCATTTTCTGCTCAACTAGAAACAAAAGGAAGGTTAGCAAGTCATTTTAGCAGCTTTGTCTATTTATTATTTTCCAAAACAGGCAAGGTTCCATTCGAATTCAGATACCAGGTTCAGTTGAGATAACAAGGTGTAGAGCTGGATGAACACAGCAGGCCAAGCAGCATCAGAGGAACAAGAAGGCTGACGTTTCGGGCCTAGACCCTTCTTCAGAAATGGGGGAGG